TAAAGCGATTTTGAGTCCTTGAAAAGCCCTATACAAATATAATGTATTATTATTATTATTATTATTATACTGACAGGTATCAGATCTTGCTGTGTAAAATAATCTTCCTGAGAGGTGTCACTTGTGATGTCGTCTGTGTAGTCCACAGTGAATGTATTCCTGACAGCAACAGGTGATAAGAATCAAAGGTTCCCATAGGATTCCATAGAAAATGCATGCAAGTCATTTTTGACCCACTTATGGAAGCTTGGGGTAGAAATACAAAAACAACAATTTCTTAAAATTTAAATTCAAAATGTGAATGGCATTATATCCAAAACATATTTTTTGAGGAATAGCTGGAATATGAAATGATACAAAATGTAATTACAAACTTCAAGAAGACCACCTCACCGGGTCAAAAAATACCCACTTACAGTATATATCTATAAGGCAAATATGACTGCATGCTCTTATTTGGAAATCCACAAATGGCATCATCAACCGGGGTTTATGTGCTATACTGAAAATGCCAAGATGTGAAATTGCAACACGATCAACCTTGGTTTATTACGGGTTATAAAGATTGCACTGCATAATAGTGATACCAGCTAAGACTACATGCCCATAATTAATTCCTCATCATTTCTACTCATTAACTGATACAGGAAAACCACTGCCACACATATGAATGATTATCTGTCTCACCCTCTTGTCTCCAGTCAGACCCAGGGAAGGTCTGTGAGGCTGTAAAGGCGGCAATAGATGTGGGATACAGGCACATTGATGGTGCGTATGTCTACCAGAACGAAGGAGAAGTTGGGGATGGAATTTGTGCCATGATCGACAAAGGAGTGGTAAAGAGGGAGGATCTGTTCATCGTCAGTAAGGTAGGGCATTAATACAAAATACAGTATTGTTTTTTGTCCTGGTAGAGAAACATGTCATATTGTCTTATCATATAGCTGCCTCCATAGAAGCCAAGGAAAAACAAGCTTATCACAAACATAAAGGATTTATATTGCACTTACAGTAGAGGCTTTTTAATACTGTGAATAGGCCAATTTGCTCTAGGGCAGCTATACCCTTTTGATAATTAGGATCCTTTCTTCTTCTTCATCAGCTGGTCACAAGGATGACAAAGTTATAATACACCATGCCTAATTTGGGAAAACGCATGACGACATGTAAAATGTGTTAATAGGCCCAGTTTCCCCCCGTTTTACACTCCCCTCCAATATGTTGTATTCATAGTTGTGGTGCACCTCCCACCTCCCATCTCTGGTGAGGACAGCCTGTGAGAAGACGCTCTCTGACCTGAAGCTGGACTACCTGGACCTTTACCTCATGCATTTCCCTATGGGAGCCAAGGTATGGTGCTATAGTCCTGTCCTGGCTATACAGACAACAAGAGCAGGATAGGGTTCTGGTCCAGCTCAACCTCATAGCATATGTCTCATGTCTAAGATAGCTTGAGAGAGCTCAAGAGAAGAAAGGAAGAATTAGTTGGCATTTGAGAAATGAAGGCAAGACTTTAAATAATTCAGCTCAGGATAAAAAAAGTTACTAGTAGAAGATAAACTCAGGTGTTGGACAACTTTGCACACAAAACATCATTATCTTGAATCTTAAGGCTTCTGTAGAGGGCCAAATGGACGGTGGACTCTTAGGAGAATATTCCCAAAAGTCTTTTGGATAAGAATCACTGACTCCACTTTTAACAGGATACCTTAAAGGAGACCTATCATGCTATATTTGAATAATATATTGTAGGGCCATACAAGGTGTATTTATACGTTTTCTTTTTCAAAATACCAAACAGATCCTGCATTTTAGCCATGCCTCATTTCGCTCTACTTTCCTCTCCTCCACCCTGTCTTTGCATGGGCTGCAGCTGACCACGCCCCCCTGCAAAGGAGGGGGCCGAGTTACGAGCGTCATGTTACCATGCTGTTACCATGCTGTTACCATGCTGTTACAATGCTGTTACCATGCTGTTACCATGCTGTTACCATGCTGTTACCATGCCACGGCAACCTCTCATTCCCCTGATTGGTGGAGAGTTGGCCATATAGGCGGAGCTCCTCGTCACTGACGTCAGACTATTTTCAAATCTGGATCAGTATCAGATCCGTTGCAGCCCCGTTTTTCGAGATTTGGGTATGGAGGAAAAGAGAGAGGGTTGTGCTTTCTGACACTTGGTGAGTTCCCTGACACACCGGGGACACATATATAAGAGACGTACAAAAGTGCATTTTGCATGATAGGTCCCCTTTAAGGCATTAGTTTGCTTCATTAAAGGGTGTTAATGAATAAGTGTACTCCAGTGCCTTTTGTCCGCTTTAAGGTATTATTAAGGTAGGGTTAATGTTGCTCTCAAAGTGCACCAGATTGATGCTTTTAACTTCAATATTTAAAAAAAAATAAAATCCTGGGGGAGTATGCCCCCGGACCTCCCTAGAGGAGGCGGTGACCCCCCTAAAGGATGTTCGGTCCACCCCCCACTCATAAAAAAGAGCCCTGCACCCCAACAACTCCTTGGATAAGCCCCGGAGCTCCTACAATCCTAAATCCGCCACTGTACCCAATGTTGTTTTTCCTCCTGTATTTTTCCCATTTTTTTGCATGGAACATTGATTTGCATTTCATGATATCACACTTTGTCAATCATTTGGATTAATTTCCTGCTGCACCAAAAGAAAACCATGAGAACCAAAGAAAACAAAGAAAACAAATGCAAAGCCGTGATTGCATCCTGACAGACAATCGGCAACCTGAGTCATGAGTGTAATCAGGAATGGCTGCTGGATCTGCCGCGTCCTGCTGGCGAGCTGGTGATTGTCCACTGGAGGAAGGGTTGGGGTGGGGGTGGAGAGGGGGGTACAGGCTACGAGATTCCTGCCTGCCTCGGAACCTTGTGGACTGATTACACGTCCAAGAAAATGCATGCAGCAAACGGATATTAAATCAACACCGCTTATTGCCATGCGTAGGACCAAGCCTGAGCGTGGGCAAAATGCATCTGCGGCTCACCCCTATAAGCACTTTAGGCAGGGGGAGAATTACATTTCTATGAGGGCTCCGGATGAGTTAGGCAATCTTCCTTTCCGCGACAATGATTAATAGTGATGGTCCCATACATTGCTCTGTCTCAGAAATATATTGCTGCCATAGTATCTGTTGTTTTGCACTCTGAGGCCAAGCTGCCTTTGAGGGCAGTGGTTGCATGCCATAAGCAGTCAACAATGGAGTGCAGATCCAGAAAAAAACGATTGGACCTTTACAGCAGAGGCTAGCTAGATCCATTTAAAACTGACTGTCACTTGCCATGCACAGACATTTTTTCCAAGGCCCTTTTGGTGTGGAATTAAGCACCCAGACACCAAACGAATCAGAAAGAAGTCTGGCAGATTGATCTCATTCCATCTGTCTGAACCCTGTATGCTTGCTGTCATCCCAACAAAAAAGTATTTATTTTTAGATGACTGTTGGGCTATACTTGTACTCAAGTCTGTTCCTTAGGCCCCTTTCTGACGTCTTTCACTTGTCATACACTCGTGTTTTATTTGACCAGATCGTCCAGATCTTGTCACAGTCAATCTTTGTTTCAGGTTATCCCATTTCACTTAATATGTTAGTTTGGGGCTTTTTTTAATTAACAGATCAATTACAGGATCTTGGAAATGCACCATAATGTACCTGTGGCATGTTCTGGTGAAGATTATAGAGTATTAATTTTAAGGCTTTCTTTATTCGGACTACAAACCATCTAAAGGATAATAGATTGAAAGGTCTTGTCTGGAGAAACATCTCAACTTAACTGAAAGCTGTGAATTCATTTTTTGACCAGTATTTGGGCAGTAAAACATACAACTGACGCACAGCCATAATAGCATGCAATGGCTTATTACATTGTTATTGATTCCTAACACAAGTAGCAATGGGAGATGGATTTCTGGTCACATGACACATTTTAATTGAGCAATTACCAGCTGGTTAATTCTGTTTTAGTCTCTATTAACTTCCAAATGTTACGCAGAGTTATTCAATTGAATGTTTCTATCAAGAATGCACATAAGAAGATTAAAAACATTGACTAGATGACAGTGTAAATGCAGACGTTGGACTTGAAAAGGTCCTGATTTATTCTGGTCATGTTGTTGGCTCAGTCTTAACCCCCTTGGGAACTGGTCTTAAGCAGACTTGGAATCGAACCAGTCCTTCCTGACCAAAACTGACATGGAGTGAAAAATCACAGTGACACACACTTTACTTTTCCGCATGATGAGTGCTATAGATTTTAGTGTTAGCTTATTGATGAACTGACTAAAAATGTGTTATTATGCACTTTACCAAATGCCTGTTAAGCAGAAACCCCACAGCACTCAATCAAGCCATGGCCAAGAGCAATGTGTTGATCAATGGACACTACAATTCAGATTTCGCTTTAGTAACTGGATGCTTGGCGGAAAAAAACTGCTAACTGCAGAGAAAACTAAATGGTGCGAGAGACTGAGCAAACAACTTAAGACTCAACACTTTCTGTCCTCAAAAGTTGACATGACAGAAATAAAACAATTCTTGTGTTAAAAATCTAACTGCCCAAGAATATTCATTCCGATACATTTTCAAAGTGTGCCGATGATTCTTCAGAAGTGTTTCTGACGTCTGGTTAGGAAGCTGAATCCAATCATGTCTGTTACTTCCCAAAATGGACCATCCCTTATTCACACTCACTTCATGTCTTGATTAACCAGCTGGGAAGAGGTGAGAAAAGAGCCAGGATCTTTCTTTTTCTAATTATTCATTTTTTTACACACCTATTTCTGTCACTTTTCATGTGATAAACCCAGGGCAACACTATATTTCCCTGTTGCAAAAAAACATTCAAACACATGATCATCTGGATTTGTCTCAAGGCGGAAAGGTGGCAATGACTCTGCTGAAGTCCCAGGTGTTTATTGGCATCCGATTGGCAAGGTGGACAGATAAAAAAAAAATACAAGCAACCCTAACATCTTCACTAACTTCACAAACAATAGAAATATAAAAGCATACTCGTTGGGAAGGAGTTACCAGATAAACTCTTTGCGTGGCGTTTACATGTCCTCCCTGTGGTCGATACCATATGTTTGTGAGCAATTCCTCCACCAATCTGTCAGGAGGATTCCAGGCGCGAACTGCTGATGAGTATTAATGCAACATTCTATTTATACTATCACTGGGACAGGTATCCAGGCCGTGAACGAGGAAGAAAATTACATAAATAAATGAAGTTCACAAACACTTAGTGATTTGCATCAGAAACAAATGTTAAACCACAAGAAACAATGTCAACAACGCAACCACACATGCTGGCTCTAATTTGTCAAAGTGAAGCGTCAGAGGCTTGATGCCAAAGAGATGTGTGACATAGATCAGACTAATGGCTGCTCAGTCTTTTCCAAAAACAAACTATCCACAGCTAACGACACCATTTTTTAACAGATACCGCTGTTGATTTTGTCCTAATCTGATCCCTTGATCTATTGTTAATGTAACTTTATTATATAACATCTTGCATTTAGGTAGGCATATCAAATGTGTTTAGGTCAATATGCATACATGGATGCATACATCTATATTAGGAGGCTATATAGGTGTTATAAGGAAACATAAATTAGATACAACCAGTGGTGCGAATACATCCACCAACATATTTCAACCAATATCAGTTCCACATGTCAGAATTTCATTGCAGCTTGAAATGTTTTTCCATGCCTCATTACCAACCTGTTTCACACGAGGGAGGGCACACACATTTCCCTGACTGTGACTGAAATGGTACATTAAATGTGCTTTCTTTGAAATTGTTTTCACTTTTCAGAGTTTTAGCCCCTTGTCATATTATCTGGTCAGTCAAGACTATTTAGTATTTGTGCCTCATTTTTGTGTTTCTACTGCTATAAGATACAAATATGACATTGCAGTTATGAATGAACTATAAAGAGCTAAAAGTGCTTTCACAATGACCAGTAATGGTTGATTTGTCTTTATTTCTAAATGGGAACACTTACTTTAATGATGACATGATTACTTTGACAGCTTGGCAGTAAGAGCTATTGCCATAGCAACCATTTGGCCAGCCAATGAGATTAAGTTTTCCCTTTCCCCAATGATGGTGAAGGTATGCCCACTAGTAGATTCCATCTACTTGGCAGGGATCATTGTGATATGTGTGATTATATAGGTATTGTAGTCACACAATCTCTCTTTAACACACACACACACACACACACACACACACACACACACACACACACACACACACACACACACACACACACACACACACACACACACACACACACACACACTCCAATCCTATCATCAATGCTGTAAGCAGGTATTTGCACCCAAGAAAATGTTCTCTCCACTGCGTTTCGTAACATTTCTGGAACATGGAAAATGTGAAACAGTTCATTCTGAAATTCCTTGAGGATAAAATGAATAATCTGCATTTGTACACACTTTGATGACTGTGCGATGACAGAAAAAAGTTATCTCCAGTCTACTCGGGTGATGTTTTACTTGAGTTGGTCTCTGCATAGACATCATCTATTATTGTTACTTATATTCTTGTGAGGAACAGATAGGCATACTACTCTTGACTGAATACATTCAAAAGGGCCTTTTAGAAAATGTTACGTTAGTATGGAGGCTTCTTGGTAGTTCAACAAAGCTACATTAATGGACCATGAATTGTAGAGTCCATGAGTCAGTCTTATTGCCATAAAAGCTCTGTTCACTTATATAATCAAAGTCCAATGTTAAGACATTATTTTTGGAATATGTCAAGTAAAGAAAATACAGGTTAAATAATTTTAGACGTCTTTCAAGGTTTGAAAGACGTCTAAAATTAAATAATGTCTTAACATTGGACTTTGATAAGTGAACAGAGCTTTTATGGCAATAAGACTGACTCATGCACACTACAATTCATGGTCCATGAATGTAGCTTTGTTATCATATTTAATTTATAGTGTTAACACATCTGAAACTCCTCCAACGTTGTGGTGTTGACATTTATATTTATGAATTGTTTTTTTAAGTGACGCTGACGTTATGGGCGTGGCTTTCAAACTGCGGGTTGCGTCAGGAACTGCTTCCGGTGGTCACGTAAGGTAGGCTTCAGCCATAAACAGTGTAAATAAAGCGGGATAGCAAACGTACAGTTTGTACACTAACCGCATGTTTCATCCAGGCCAACACATCGATTACATTTTGGCTATATTTTCTTTTTTATCCATGTTTGCTCGAGCAGGATCTCTATCCAGGGTGACATGGACCGGCTGCCGAAGGTCATTTTCGCCAGCTTGAATGATACATTACCTTGCACGTTGAATACGATTAATAAAACATCAACAAACTATTATAATAAACCTTTCACCCAATTATACGTACCGTTAGTAATCGTTCTCTGTTGTTAACTTCTTATCTCGCAACATTACCGTAACGCAGCTTTACCTTGCTGAAAAGTAACAGCTTCACATAATTCAAAGTTTAGTCTGTTTTAAAATGCCAAACACACATTTGTGTTATTTTTACGAATCCATGGATTCATATGGCCAATTCGGCTTGCATGTCAAACTGTACAAATGCATAATTTCGTCAACTAAGACGACCTTTATCATTTGCATGACTGTTGTCAACGTGTAGCTAGCGTTATGCTACAACTATTATCTCCCACCGAACATATAGAAGCAATAACATACATTTCGTTTGAACTGAAAGGGCTAGTGGGAAGCGAATTAAATGTATACCGAATTTAAAATGAGTTACTCACGTTTTATAAAACACTTACAGCCACGCTTTAAGAAGTGTTGTTGGTTTTCACTGTAGCGTGCAGTCTTGATTTTGCCACATTTTGAATGGAGATCGGCAAATCGCATGCCAACATAAAATCTTAGCCAATTACTAGTGCCAGTGAAGAGCATGTGTACTGCTAATCCTGGATTACCTAGCACATGAACCTTACTTCAGTAGTAGACCAGGCACAGTGTAATTTAAGACGTAGCCCCTACACATATTACAATGTATATGGGCATTTTCAGACCAGTAGTGATGCTCCAGTTGTATATTATGTTGCTGCTAATTTTTAGGTTTCAGCTCGTTTCTTCCAGTGACTTCTTCCGGTTTTTTAGGTGTTTGCACGAACCTACTAAGCTGTGTCACTACTTGTAGTGTGTGTAATACTGGACTAAATGCCTTGGAATACTGTTTGATTCAATATTCTGATTTGTCTTTTTCAGAATGGGAAATTTTACATCCTCGACATCTGTGGCCGGTTCATCATGTGTACAGCATGTTCAGGTAAGTTATTGCTTGCAGATATGTTACCTGAAGGAAATTGAAAAACTGTTAGAACAGTTTTTACATAGTTGTTACATATCCTAACAACTATGTGTTTGATACCTTTTTTTTTCAATAGAAGTAACGAGTTTAGCTACACATTAAATTGTTTAGTGACTCTTTCTTTCAGTTAAGACCATTATAGCATCTCCTGTTTCTCCACATTTTTCAGTAAAAAACTCATATTAAAGTGTACCCACAGTTCACTCTGTAACTAAACATTAACCATGGAAAATCTGCAGAGATAAGGTTTCTTTCACCTTTGCCCAGCAATTTACATAGGGCTCTGGTATTTGTAGACTATTTCTGTGTTCCACTGATATTAAATTACATATTTCCCCCCCCCGACCTTTCAGGAGATGGTGTCACAGAACTGTGTTGTGATATTTTCCAAGTCCACCTGTCCTTATTGCAAAATGGCCAAGAATGTGTTCAATGAAATTGGTGCAACCTACAAAGTGATTGAACTGGATGAGCACAATGATGGGAGGAGAATGCAAGAGGCCTTAGCTCAGATGACCGGTGCCAGAACGGTAAGAGCCTCAAGTTGTGTTTTGGGTTCGCAATTTCAATTTCACAGCCTTTTATTTTTGACTATTGTTTTGTTTGGGCTGCATCAAAGGCTTCATGTCTTTATCTTGACTCAAATCTTCAACATAGAGACCAAACAAAGCTGCATCTTTTTCATACTATAGTCTTTAATGGTATCAAATATAGACATTCAATTCATACGTTTTAATAGTAATGATGTTGTGAATATTTTGTACAAGACTAAAAACATTTAGATACTATTCCACGTTGAGAAAGTCCCTTTTTTATATTTTATACGCTTGTCCCCATCAACAGGCGTCGTATCAGGAGTTACGAGATATAAATAGCATTTAGATCTACATTAAAACTAGACTTTATGACATAAGGGTTGTGTATCTGCACGTTAAACTCATTTACACATTTTAAATGTTGCTTTTATTTTATTTTTGACCAAGTACAGAGTTGACATTGGCTGTCAGAGCACATACATTTTTTTCCTTTTGGCCTGCCATCAATTTATCTACACATAAACATTAATTAGTGACATCTGATATGACCAACCTTCATACACATGTGAAGGTAGCTGAAGGTTTTGTACAGTGCTTTAGTTTTTTTAACAAGAAAGAGAGATTAGAGTTGGTGTTTACCAACAAAGGTTTTCATTCACACACCTGTATTTACACTTGCACTACTATATTTTCACTGAAAGGATCAGAATTTGTATCGGATTTAATTTAGCTTAAAAAAATTGTTTTACATAAAAATATGCTCAAACTGTCCCAGCACACTTATCCTTACAGACAGAGCCACATGACAACATTAGTTGTAGCAATTCCAATACACAGCTGCATAGACAATCGTATTGTCTACGTATCGACAATAGTCATTTTCCAATAGTCTTGCCAAACCCCTCAGACTAGCAGTGAATTAATCTAGAGGGCTACTGTTCCGGATGTCAGGTGCCTTTATAACGCTTTGTTTCAAAACCTAATGGTACAACATGATCTGTGTGTTAAGGTGCCGAGAGTCTTCATTAACGGAAACTGCATCGGGGGTGGCTCTGATACCAAACAACTCCATCAGCAGGGGAAGTTGCGGCCCCTGATCGAGCAGTGTGCTCCCTGTTGTGCTTCCAGCTCCGACGGCTCGGGTAGCGGACAGTTTGAGTCAGCCAAATGACTAACCGTTCTTGTAGTTCTTTTCAATACGGTGTTTATGAAACATCTACTTGATCTCGTGTTGCAAGTTCAACATTGCTTGAGCATGACTATGTTATATATTTATCAAAGTGCATTAAATGTCAGGCTACATACCTTTTCATACAGGGATGTACAGTATTAGTGTTATTATTAAAGCTGCCATATTTAAAACAAAAACTGAACATCATTGGTATGTGAGGTATTGACAGTTTGATTCAATTGAGGTCATTCGTCATATGTTGTACGATTAATGTAGCTTGTTATTTTTTATATGATTAGCACATCAACTTGTAAATTGTATTTAAACAACCAATGTGAAAAATATTATGATTTTGTAAAACATGTTTTACCTAGCCGTCGAAGCATTTTAAAAGTCTACCTGAAATGTTAGCAGAAGCTATGTTATATTCTGAATTTATTTGTTAAACCACCCAGGTAAAAAAATAGTATGCTTAAATTATACTTTTAGATAAATGTGCTATTTTGGTCGCATTCAAGTATACTAAAGTGTACTCAAGTAGTACTGGAGTACTACTTAATCATTAGTTGAGTATACTTGAAGTGTAAATAGTGTGCTAAATTGGCAGAACTTTTTGTAAACTTTAAGTGTACCAAAGCACAACCGTTAAAATCATGATTTGTGTGCATTCAAAACACACTTTAAGCACAATTGTATTGTATCACCAGTGTGTTGGAAATATACTTAAAAGGGTATTTGTGTGCATTCGAAACACGCTTTAAGTATAATTGTATTATATCACCAGTGTGTTGGAAATATACTTAAAAGGGCAATTCATAGCTCAATTCATAGTAATTCATAAGTGTGTTTTCAACATACTATTATCATACTTAGTCAAGCACACCTGTTATATTTCCAATTAACTTCAAATGCACTTTCTGACTGTATTTAATACTTTTAAATTGTGCTATTATGTTAATAAAAATGTATTTATAGAAAGGTTCTATCACAATTTAAGCACCATAAATCCATGTATTTTAAGTATAATGTTATTATACTATAATGTAGAGTAGAAGTGTATGGTATCACTGCTTATACTACAGAATAGAAGAATACGAAATGTTACCACTGCAAGTACTGGGTTATGTGTTACAGAAGCATACTTACAATACATCACTATTATACGTTATACACTTTAAGCTACTTCCGGATACCACTTAAGTACACACCAAGTGTGCTATTCTGTTTCATGACAAATTGCACTTCAATTATGAGAAAAACATAATTTTAATGACATAAACATAACAACAAACCAAAAAACGTGTTTATACTAAATGTAACAATTAACAAAACATGATGGCTAAACTGACTAACTAACTTGCGAAGTTTATATAAACTAAATGGTGGCCATCAGTGAGGAGTAACGTTGCTTGTATATCTCCCGTTGTTGCATTTCCTCCGCAGCAGGGTCGCACTCACCTCGGTGCCCGGAAATGTTTCTCTCACGGTGTCTTACAAAACAAGAAGGAAGCATGGGATTTAATACTTGATAATACAGACAATATATTAGATTGAAATTCATTCATAATGATAACATTAATACAGAATATCTGTACCAATAATGGCATTGACTTTCTCCGGGTCAAGGGTCTCTGCGGTTTTCCCCTTCCCAGTAAGGGTAGACTTCGCCAGGGTCTCTTTCCCAAAGATAGCGTTGCTAGTTCCTGGGCAAAGAGAGACATCCTCCTGTTGCCTAATCTGTGGAAGAGGCGTGGAGACCTGGACGGAGGAGTTGCCTAGCAACATCTATAAAAACAAAGAGGCGGATTAAAACAAGATAAATTACAAATATTGTACCTGTACCATCAAATGAACTTGAATGCTTTGCTATATTTTAAACACACTGGAGATATAATATAATAGTCATGCAAGTGTATTTCTAATGGCAACAAAACATATTTGTAATGGTAAATGGACTGTACTTGAGCGCTTTATCTGGTCAGCAGACTACTCAAAGCGCTTTTACACCACATATCACATTCACACACATTCATACACTGTTGGCGGAATATAAACCATCAGAGGTAACACATTCACTCATATCCACACACCAATGTGCAATTTGGGGTTAGTTGTCTTGCTCAGGGACACAACAGCGCATGGCTGCCGGTGGTGGGGTGGGGATCGAACCACCGACCTTCCGATTGGTAGCTGACCTGCTTTACCACAGCCGTCCCCCGTAATCAAGTCAAGGTGTACTCAAGCAGTACTCGAGTACACTTCTGTATATTATGTGGGGCAGCTCTCATCTTGGCTCCAAGGGTGTGAAAATACAATTCCATTGATCCGCAGTGATTATTTTTTTTATAGAACAATAGCAATAGAGTATCATTACTATGTTGGTCATACCAAGTCGTTACTGCCAGCATTGCGGCAAGTTTGCTGGGAGTCATTTAACTTATATCAGATGAATGAAAAGCAGATTGAATCATGATGCTGGTCCGTGTGATGAATACAAATATTTATGGTTGTATTTTTAACAACAACTCTGAAATATTTTCTAAATGCCCGAAATGTGTATTTATGAATATTAAAAAATATGAATTAAACCACCATCTGCCTCCAATGTCTGGCTTGCCTTTTTCTTGAAGTGTGCTTAATTTGTCCCCCTCGTTCGCTTAGGCGGGCGGAGATTGATTAAACTCAACGAGTGGGCACATTACTTTCAGATATTGATCATGGGTTCTTATTTTTCTATTTATATACGTATAGTTGATACGTATGTAACCTTGAAACTTGTCTGTCGAAAACATTTTTGCAATATATTTTCTCAAATTAGTGTGGCTTTTGGATAGTATACGCTGTCAAATAAACCGAGCGCACCTATAGTCCCCACATTGCACCGCATCCGTGAGGTCACTAGTGTTTCAGTCAAATTAGCTTGACTAGCGGTAGTACTGCTAAGCTAGGATATTAGCATCTCGTACATGTGTAAGTAGGTTGAATAAACAACGTTGTGAAGAATGGCTGGAAGCGCAGGAGAGTGGTGTTTGATGGAGAGTGACCCCGGTGTGTTCACAGAACTGATAAAGGGTTTTGGTGAGTGACTAGCTGTTCATTCAGTGCATGGTGGCTATGCGACAGCGCTAGCTAGCTAGCTAGCTCCTTCAAAGCTAATGGTAATTTGCAATCAGCTTCTATTGGTTTTCTATGCAATAATAAAAACAAGCAATGGAGGTCAAATAAAAAATATGTTAAGAGGCTTTGTATTCTCAGCAACCACCAAAACGCTGCATTCTGTAAAAAGTTGCATGCAGTATTCGACAAAGCTAACTTAATGAGGCAAGCTAACTGGCTAGCATTACTCAGCGTTCAAAACAACGGCGCGTGAAAACAAATCCTCACTCATTAATGACATCTTTGTGCTTTGCTCTGCTGTCAACCTGCCACTGGGGACATTTGGTCCCATATGTTAACGTTTTTGAAGAGCCGGACACACCGTTCTATAAGTATGAGTAATTATGTGATGCTGTATTTGTTCTTGCCAGGTTGCAAAGGCGCCCAGGTTGAAGAGATATGGAGTATGGAGCCAGAGAATTTTGACAACTTGAAGTATGTTCATACCTGCAGCTTCTATATATTTCATAATCCCTCTCAAGGCATTATTTTTTTAATATTTCGGTTATGTTTCAGACCAGTTCATGGGTTGATTTTCCTCTTCAAGTGGCAGCCAGGTGAGGAGCCAGCAGGGTCTATCGTTCAGGATTCAAGGCTTGATCAAATCTTCTTTGCCAAACAGGTATTTATTTTATGTCATATATAACCCTTTTTTTTGTTACACAATACACAATGTTGTGGTATTTTAATATTCGAGTCATAGTAACTCCTTAGCAAACAAAATGGCAACCTTGATCTGCTTGGTTTTTGGTGTATACACACATATCCCTACAGATGGATTGGAAGTATTTGATATAATCATCAAATGCATCATATCATGAATACACTGACTACAACATATAGAAACCCAATTAGTAAGTGTACATAACATAGGAAGATCTGGTTAGAAGATGATTTTTGATTTTATTAAGTTAGTTAATTAATACACAATGGGTTATGGATCTGTGTAATAATTAATGTGTTCTCTCTGTATGTTTTCAGGTCATTAACAACGCCTGTGCCACCCAGGCGATAGTCAGCGTTCTGCTCAACTGCTTCCATTCTGACATGTTGGTTGGGGACACACTGACAGAGTTCAGAGAGTTTTCACAGAGTTTCGACCCTGCTGTACGTTCACGGTATTTTTCCCTTGAATCCCAAAAAATAGTTTGGCAATTGCATGCATTAGTACATGAATGTATTGTTTACCCATTCACAATAAACTATACACCTTTAACTAAAGTGACACCAGCATTTACCTTCTAACTCAAGTACCAAGTGACACATTTTTCACAAAACCCCCCAGCTTTTTCTCTCTATTACACAACTTGATATACTTATTTCCCCACTTTCATCTGTAACACTTAGACAGTTTCATCCTCTTACCTCCAAAACCTTGATGACTCGGTTTTCTGTCCCACACATGTTCAAAAGAACCAAGCTCAACTTCTCTTTTGATCTTAAATGACTCAAAGCTGTCCTTTTTTAAAAAATATATCTAAACCAGTTGGAAAGTGCAAATAATGGGAATAAATCAGGGTATCGTATGGAAGCAACCTGTGAGTCGTTTGATTTAGTTAGTACCTTTTTGACACTACTTACATATCCACACTTATTGTAAGTATAACTTGTTTCTAGAAAAAAGGAATTTATAAGGGTCCCATTCAGCCTTTAATAGCACATCTTTAGGCAAATGTTATACAGTCAGCATTATAATCCTGTACCCCCCTCCTCAGATGAAAGGTCTGGCTCTTAGCAACTCCGAAGTGATCCGACAAGTTCACAACAGCTTTGCCAGGTAAGCTCTCGCTCCATGAACTCTGTTTGAATGACTTCTTGATATGTCTAGCTCTTTATTCTTACTCTGTGGAAAGTGATTGCTGCTAATGCACCTGTCTGATTTTATGCAACTTGCAAATGTGAGGTTTGGTAATTTGTTGGTCACCATTTGAAGCCCTTTCACAACCTACTTAGTAATATATAACATGTTTTTTTAAAGGGTACATATTATGCTCATTTTCAGGTTCATATTTGTATTTTGTTCCTCTACTGAGACATGATTCAATGTACAACAAGGTCTTTATTTTTCTCATACTACCTGTGCTGCAGCACCTCTTTTCACCCTCTGTCTGAAACCAGAGCCCAGTCTGCTCTGATTGGCCGGCTCTGTTGTGATTGGTCAACAGCTTAGAGATGTTCCGCCCTTAACCTATCAAGTACAACGTGTTGGAGCATTAGCCAATATAAGCAAAAGTGTAACCTAGTGATGTCACTGCACGTTACAGAAAAAAACAAATCAGTCCAATTGACAGGCAGGGAAGACGTGTGGGAGAGAAACTGCCTTTGCAGACCATTTTCATGCACAATATCCTATAACACACAACACGAAAGGGAACCCCCAAAAAGCATATAAAGGCCTCTTAATGGGTGACATGGTTAACATTTTCTATGTACGATATATTGACTAAGATTGGAGTTATGTTTGTTTTTCGAGCATTCCTAAATCCTAACCTGTTTCACTGCATCTACATGTGATGCAGGATCATTTTCTTTAAAATTGTGCCTTTTTTGTTTTTGCAGACAGCAAATGTTTGAATTTGATGCCAAGTCCACAGCGAAGGACGAGGACGCCTTTCACTTTGTGAGCTATGTTCCTGTAAACGGACGGCTATACGAGCTGGATGGACTCCGAGAGGGACCAATTGACCTGGGTAAGCCGAAAAAAAAGTAATTTGATATTTTTTCCTTTTTATTGCTTAATACAATTTCATCTTGTTGGCCATGGCCCATTTCCTCCAAAACTGTCTGTTTTATGATGATGTACAGGGACTGTATGTACAGACACCTGCAGTATTATCAGCTGTTGTCTGTGTTTTCATCAGGTGCGTGCAACCAGGATGATTGGATCAGCGCCGTTCGCCCAGTGATCGAGAAAAGGATACAGAAGTGAATATATTTTTTTCATTTATGTTGGATCAATCCTAAATTAATGAAATCCTCAGTTAATGTTGAATTGTATTGCTATTAAAGAATCTCTTCATTTCAATACAATGGGTACTGAGAAGTGAAAAGGGAATTCATGTAAAGCAGTGGTGTAGAAATGGGTTCATATGATTTATTATTTTTAAGTTTTTGATTGTACAAAGCAGATCGGTAAATACAGCATGTTCTGCCAAATGCTCAATGTTTTATTGTTTCCCTGTTCAGGTACAGTGAAGGAGAGATCCGGTTCAACCTAATGGCCATCGTGTCAGACAGGAAGATGATATACGAGAGAAAGATCGCAGAGCTCCAGACCCAGCTTACTGAGGTGAGTGGTAGCAAAAAAAATGAATAATTGATGGCAAAGAGTAGTTTACTTTGTCCCTGTGAGGCTTAATGTGAAATCAGATGTCTGCTTTCACAAAGTTAGGGATTATAATCAAACAAACAAACAAAACATTTTCTTGTCGTCATATTCGTCCACAACACATGAATTGTAGGATACGACTGCTCTGGGTTTAAATAAATGATTGTGTAGTAATTGAAATTGCCACGTTTTTTTCAACATTAAGAAAATGACACTGATTGTTCTGAATGAGGTTTAAGGTGAATACGAGATAACACTACTATTGATCATGGAAGGCTTTTACATTATAAAAAGGTAGTGACATTTATTCGATAAAGGGAATCTTGAGAATAAGGCGGATGTCTAATAATAGTCCAGCATTAAGATTTAAATATAAAATATTTTCATTTGATCTCTTTAGAGAGGGGTCAAGGAATACATTTACCCCAAGCTCAAAGTCCTTGGCAGAGGATTAATTACCAATTAACTTATTGAAATGACCCAAAAGAGCTGGTAATATTCTCTAAATGCTAAGGAAAGGTGTTCTAATGCTTCATTCTCTGTCTCCTTTAGCATAGAGTATACTCAAATGTCATTTTGAAAGGAAAGGGGATGTGCCATCTCACAATGTGTTAAGGCAGGAACATTTAAAGCGAAACCAGACCCTTGTGAATAACACTTGTTATCACATTATAACGTGCCCTAATGTAGGTGCAGGGTTCCCCAAAAACTGCCTTTTTCTTAGTCCTTATGAATTCTCCTCCAAAGCACTCCTTGACTCCATAACATTTCCCATCCATCAAGGTCAGGCAAAAGTAGGTAGGAAAATAGATCTCATCTATGTTTTACTACCTGACCATAGCTGACCTGTTTTTCGTTTTTCAATTAAAAGGTGTAGTCTGTATTACCTGTCGGTTACACTCGGCGTCATTATTGGGTGTTGATGGAAAATGAAGTTTGTTCCACCTGTAACAAACCACACCACAGTGATGTCAAGGCTTACTGATCACACCCTGATTATTACCCATCTCCATCACTACAGAATGGTGAAGCATTCAACCACTGGAGGTCAGCAAACATAAGATTTTACTTATTACTAAAAGCTCTACTGCAAACATATTTAAAGGAGTAGGATAGATCTGCCAGTGGTGCAAAGTTACCTGATAAAGTAACTCCAGTACTATACTTGGGTACTATTTCAAGGTACTTTACATGAGTGTTTTCACATTGTGGTTTTTTGTACTCCACTAAATGTTGTGGGCCAATATTGTACTGTTTTCTCTAGTACATTAATTGTACAGCTTTTGTTACCTGGAAGATTTAGATTGCTATTACAAATATAAAAATCATAATGCATTATTCCAGCTTATACTACCAAGCAGTGTTTGAATTAATCCAACTAAATCCAATTTATACAATTATTTTGAAGTGTGCAATACGGCACAATAAATACTTTGTACAATTTTGAGTGCAGGAATTGTACTTGTTACAGAGCAATTCTACTTTGTAGTATTGCTAATTTTCTCCAACTGACAACCTCCCCCCCTTCTGTTTCCCAGGATGAACCAATGGACACGGACCAGAGCTCCACGTTTCTCAGCTCCATCCAGTCGGAGATTGCCAAGTACCAGCTCCTTATTGAAGAGGAAAATCTGAAACTTAAAAGATATAAGGTGGGTTTCTCCTCAACACTGCATTTCCTGCTATTACATTCTGCATTTCATGTGACTTTCACCGTAATATAAATGCAAGGAAATTGCCCTTTAAGGCTACAGTGTATTTGTGTCTGTTGAAAACAACCTTTGAATAAGGAGATACTATATGTACCGGCTGTGTTTGCCTTAACGTGTAAGACTGAAAGTTCCTTCGTTCACATCTGTCATGCCCAGGTTTTCTCTCACTTTCTTTGTTAAATTGATGTGTTTTTCTTACAGATTGAAAACATTCGGAGAAAGCACAACTACCTTCCCTTTATCATGGAGCTGCTGAAGACACTGGCAGAGTACCAACAGTTAATACCTTTGGTGGAGAAGGTATCTTATGTTATTCTATTGGCTTTCTTCAACGCCACTCGCTTTCTGTGCATGTGCGTCTGGAAAAACGTAATCACATTGACATTTTGAAAAATCGTCTGGTTTTACTCCTCATTATTTTAATGGGATATCTTGTAGTTTTCAGGGACTCTCATGTATAAATAATGAAATACTTCGGTCAATGTCAAGAGGCTCAAGGAGGAACATTAATCAACAAACGTAATGAAAGACCATTTCAGCTTCAGTATTAATTCTGTCCAGTAAAGGGGAAATGGTCATGAATACAACTTTTGAAGTTAATTTGTTTCTACAATGTTTACCACTACTTTATTCAAAATGAAGTAACATAAAAGGATATTTTGAATTTTTCTTTGTAGGTTTTGTACAGTAATAAACGTTTTTTTTTCTCACCAGGCAAAGGAGAAACAGAGTGCCAAAAAAGCCCAAGAGGCCAAGTGATCAACAAAAAGGACTTCCACACAAATGCATCCAGAACCCTACAGTCACATACAGATACTGTTCATAATCAGTCTTATTCGCTTTCATGACCAGGGATGGTCTGCAGCACTTCCGCCCTGTGGCCTCCTGTGAAACATCAACGTTAAGAACTGCACTGCAGGTGTAGCAGAGAGACTGTCCGGCAAAAAAAAAAAGAAGCTCTTTCCATGTGTCCATCAGCTCTAATGCATGATAGAAAGAAAAACAATGTGCTCAAATGATGTTCTGTCTTATTTTCATAATAAAATGTCTAGATGTTTGTGAATTTGTGTTGTTTATGGACAGATCTTCAAAAAATGTTATCATGGTGGTAAAGACTTCATGGTAGATCTTTGCCACCACCTACTGTTACAGCAGAGCAACAAGGATTGTCGTTTAAAAAAAACCTTTTTTTCTCCACTGTAAACTAATAAGTATGTTTTTGTTCCAAAAAATATCAAGCCTTTTTAAAAACAATCTTGCAGTCAAAGTCATTTGACCCATAGAGAGAACACTGACAAGCTGCCAAGTCCTTATAAGTGCATCATTAAGATGTGTTTTTTTGGAAAGCTTCCCGTAGCACCATGTTGATTTTTTTTAACGTGGGAGTCCGTAGTGGCCTCTGTGATTTATCCCATAAGCTAACATCTGTTCTCTACTACACAAAATAACCACGGTCAGCTGGCTTAAGTGTTGTTCTTGAACATAGCAGACGTCTAAAGGCCTGCGTGAGTCTGACGTGTGTGACGACCAAAGCAGAACGTGGTGCTTTTCTATTTCTGGCAACTTTGTTTACATACACACCTTAAGTACTCCTTGGATCCAAGCCCAGTAGTCTGTTGCCAAGAAGCTTCACGTCAACAAAAGCTAACACACAGGTTTTACTACCAGCTCAGAAGGAGAAAGAACAATGTGTCAGTTTTATTTTCCTGTGTTAGGTCAGGCCACATGGTAATAGGATTCATGGTCACAGTGTCCCAGTTCTACAGGGTGTTTGTGAATACCATCACAACCTCACTCGACATGCTTTCAAACAAAGCAATCATCTTTGTGGCACTAACACAACATGGAATGTATATTGTGGCATGCTGACAATGATGCAAATACAAGTGTTATAAATAGCATGCTGCATAACGGAATGTGCGCTGTGTAGGCCTACTTTGGAGGTCAGGGCATGTTTATTTGTGCAGCTCATTATCACATGCAGTGGCTTTAAGGGTTTTTGAGTCCCATAAAAAGCAGTGGTTCCAAACACAGGAAAAAGGCCTTGAAAGTATCAATATGGTTGATATGTTGCCTTAAAATATCAGACAAAGAACCTTTGATGGAGTTGCTTGTTCTTTGTTCGACCAACAGTCCATATCCCAACATATTATATTTTACAATAAAATAACTAAAAGCAGCAAGAAAATGTTAAGCTTTTGTTGTTGTTGATGGAGTTATTTGTAATTAGCATTTAGCGATTGAGGCAATTGAAAGGCAATTGAAAGATATACCCCTGCTCTGTCAAATGCGAGACGTGCAAAAAGGTCAATGCAGGCAAAATAAATGAGAAGAAAAGAAAGAGAACAGTTATTATATATGTAACCTACAGCTCATGATACAAGAGAGGTCTGCAACAATTTTAGCAGCTCTGTATTTTGCAAGAGCAGCTTTTTTTAGCTAAATGCTAAGGTCAACATGCTCATGCTGATAATGCTAACATGATGTTCAGAAGATATACGGATTACCATGGTCACTATCAAACGTTATCATGTTAGCATGCTAACATTTGCTAATTGCCTCTAAACTAAAATAACAGCTGATTCAGTCATTAGTTTTACGGGAACATACAAAGTATCGGACAGAGATTTTGATGTAATAATGACCATATGAAGTGTTAAGGGGGTCACCAAAGTAACTAAAGGTCATCTTGAGCAGAGTGAGGATGTCTGTAGGCCTACTACATTTTCTGACAATCCATCCAATGGTTTTCTGGACATTTTACTTTAAACGCGAATGTCAAATTCATGCTGGTGCTGGAAGAAAAGTCGGGAGCACAAAGGTCAGTAGCCCTAATCATTTTGGGATCATGACTAATCGTGTCTACAGATTTACATCACAGTCCATTTAATAATATCAGTCTGGACTGAAAGCATGCTGCAGTTCTTAAAGCAGTATTATTATAGTTTCTATGCTGGAGAAAATAAATCTTTTAAATTGGTTTATTACTACAGTTGAGCACACTTTCCCAGCCAGTCTGACATTAAGGTCACATTTCGACTTCTCTTGCCGGAAGACCAACACAACACACGTTTCTCGAGGGCTGCCGGTGTAAAAGATGACCTCATTAAATCAGGACAACAGGCCACAGGAGCTGTCAGCCTGTCAGGATCAACGTCCGGGTGTCTGACCACTGTCAGCCTCTACTACGAGTTCACGGCTTCACAGCCTCTGTTTCAGAGAGCAGGCACACAGCAGGCGGGGTAGGACTATCTGCTGTCAGTCAAGGTAACACATTGTTACAGTACTGGATCTCAGCTGCTATGACGTGGGCCATCAGCTGCACGAAGAGGAATGAAATGTTCCATAAAAATGAAGAATGTTGTTTTCATTGTGCAGCTTAGAATCAAGCTCATTGTCTCTAAAAATAGGTCATTGTGTGTACGGTATGCAAATGTATCTGACCTTTGTTAAACCAAACATCAAAGTGACAAGCACATTAATCCTTGCAATCTTTTAAGAAAATCTTTCAAATTTAAGAAAAACAGTAATTAACAGGAAGTTGCAAAATATTGCTTCACTTTGTACAAGATATTTAGGACTGTCTGGGCCACAGATTAGCCATTTTCGGTATCTATTTAAAGCTTGTTTCTAAACCTACGGTTGGGAATTTAATATTAAAACGTTTGTATTCTTTACATCCCAACATTAATAATTCAAATGATGACACTTAAAAATTGGCCCATGCACTCATTGCGCGTCACTGGATTCTTCCACAAGCTGCTCGCTTGACAGCTGTGAGTAGTTACAATAGTCTTGCTTTGAATTTTGAATGATATGTTATACGGTGGCCCTGAAATGCAAGTCAAAACAACATTTCACAAAACACTACAGCATTTCTTAAAACACAGCGACATTTCAAAAAACACTACAGCATTTCACAAAACGCCACAGCATTTCAGAAAACACCACAGCATTTCACAGAACACTTCAACAATTCAACTTTTACGGTAACGGTATTCCTAAAGTTTAGGGGGAACACTTCTTGTTTGTGATTTGACAGAGCTCAACAGAGAAGCACTGCTGTGATTCGTTGTTTTTGCTGCCAGTCAAGAAATCACGCTTCGTTATTGGTCAGCACCCGACAGCGCAACATGTCCCATAACATCAGCCGTGTTAGCACCTTTATATATACAGTCTATGGTTAGCACACAGAGCTCACAGCTCCTCATATCTGCACAAATCGCTCGTGTTTCACCGCGGCTGTCAGCTGTGTTTACTCCTGTCATTCAAACAAGACGCGCAGGAGAGGGGGTCCGGCTTATATCCATGTAAACACTGTGGTAGAAACCAACTACAACAAAATGAACATATTTTACCGTGATTTAATTGTAATACACGTTTCAAAATTATGCCGAAGTAACTACATAATGATATCGGTTAGTAAAAATCATGAATTAATGCATTGACAAGTGTGCAGACAAGACGGCAGGCGAAAAACCTTTTAAAATGTGTGTTTTCTGAATGGAGATCGGGTCGATCAGGCTAAACCAGTGGTTCTCAAAGTGTTGGACGCGCCCCCCCCCAGGGCGAGCAGAGGCGTGACAGGGGGGGCGCGAGAGACCAGGAGGAAAAATTGTTATTTAAAAAAATGAAAAAAATAAATCATATTTTGAAAAATTATTGATTCGAAAATAATATGATACAGTACTATTACGTCTGGGTCTCTGTGTTTCATTAAAGCTCGGCTCTGTGTGTGTGTGGAACGAGCCATTTTGTGTGCGTGCACGAGCGAGAGAGAGAGAGACAGCGCACCGGTACCGGAGATCGTTGATGTTAGCTTCTGGTACTAGCGAGCTACGCTAACGGATATAAGGAGTTTTTTCAACAACAAAGTGGAGGAGAGTCCTCTCCTGTCCGACTGAGGGACTCAGTGAGCTAAAGGAATCTCTCAAGTGTTATCTCAGTGGGTCTGCAAACGTTTTGGTCACATTTAATGTACACAATTAATTTGCCGCGAGGGCACACGTTTATATGATCATTATAGTCTAATCAAAAAAAATTAAGAGAATACATTAAAAAGCAGGTATGAACACAGCTATGACCATTAAAAAATGAATACAAGGTTTATAAAAGGGTGATTTGTAAAAAATAATCACATCAAAGAAAAGTAACTCTGTTTAAAGTTCTGTGTTGACGAGAATGTATCCCATAGATCGTAAGAGAATTTTTGCTCTCAAGTGGCAGCAGATTTGATGCTTTAACTTCAATATTTAAAAATCTTCCGCGGAGAGCTTGNTGAAGTTGTTTGCGGCCTGCCAGTAAACCCAAAGCAGAAGAAGAAGTAGTGACGTCAGCGGCTTCATTTGCGTAATCTTCCCTCAGGGAACTTATTCCGGTGTGAACGCGATCTGCTCTTTAGTTCCATGGGGGTACTAAGTGCTGGGAACTAAGTACGGCAAAGTACTTGGTTTGAAAGCGGTTCCCCACCCCTGCTTTACGTCAACACTGACCGCTAAGCTAAAGGCGGCTTATGTTTGGCGTGCTGACGTTTGTTAGTCTCATTTGGACACTTAAGAATTCCTTTATTAATCAAACAGCGTGGACATTTATAGTGTTGCAGCAAAATTGGCATAGCAGATAAAAAAAGGCATGCAATATAAAAAACCATGGCAAAAAGATAGTGACCTAAAAAGAAATGTAGGAACATTTAGGACAAGCATCGCTGTTTTTATGTCACAAAGAAGCTTTGGATATTCATCGTAGAAGTAATTGTAAAAATCTTTTAAATTTATGGTATCCACAGACCATAAAAAACATAGACTGTCAGACGAGTGAACCAAAAGTAGTAAAATGCCTACTCATGCCGCTAAATTCCAAAGTGAATGCCGTTGTATTTTTTACGACAGCAATCAACAGTATTTCAACTTGAAATTGTTTAATTCATCTTACATTTATCCCAATATCCAGTTTACAGTCCAAAAAATTATGTTGAACAATTAGCTTGACTAGATTTGAAGATCAATCCTCAACGAGAGCATTAATAGCCGCTTTCACACCGCAGTACTTTTCCCATTTTAGTTCCAATATAGTTCCGAAATGTTGCGTTCACACCAAAAAGAGCCGGAACTAAAATGAGTTCATGAGAACCTTTTTACCCCCTTTTCAGTCCCTGCTAGGGAGCAGGGACTTTCGTGGGAGAAAAAGGTTCCTATTTCTGATTGACTGGGCGGATTGCAAACCACGATTGCAAACACTTAGTTCATGAGAACTAAAGAGTTCTCATGAACTAAGTTCTGATGAACCTTTGTGGGAAAAGTACTGCGGTGTGAAAGTGCCTAATGCCAAATGTTAAGTAGTTTCAAAGAGTGCTGAAGATTACTTGAATGTCAATTAATCAATAATTCTCACATTCTTCTGAAATCTAAAATTAATAATTATGAGCTGTTTTGAATAAACATGTATCCACAGTTCCCTTTTTAAACTCAAGCTAAATATATGGGAGACATTTCCGTAATCCAGGGAAGATAATTACAAACCACCAGGAAGTCATAACTTCCAGTACAAACTTGTGTCCCGTTCCTCTCTCGTGTTTTCTCTGTTGTTCAGATGCAGTGTGATTTACAGCAGCAGCTCAGCTCTGAGCCTCTGTCGCTAAAAGAAGAGCAGGAGGCTCACATTTAGTCACTCACTTATTGTCCTTCTCACACACGCTTACATTTAACAGAAACGTTTAGTAAGTTTTCCTGCAATGTGCTTCAGATCCAACAGCTGGAAGAGCATCTGGAGAAAACTAAGGAGGAAGGGAGCCAGTTGAAATTTGACCTTCAAGAAAACTTAGAACTGGTGAGTTATTTTCTAATCTGAGAAGAAGAATTTAATGTTATATACTGATAATATACTTGAACATCAAACTCCAAAATCATGGGCTTCAGGTCCGAACTCTGTGCAGCCCACTCAAGTAATAACAAAACAAGCTGTTGGCACAAAGTTGGAAGAACTGTTCTGTGTAAGATAGTAGCTGCCCTGGTCCTCGGCATGCACATTTCTCTATAGCCGCATTCACACCGCGGGACTTTCCCTGGTACTTTGGTTCTTTAGTTCCGTTAGTACCAATAATGTCGCGTTCACACCGCCGGGACTACTCAGTGCCGGGAACTATTTTGGCCATTTTCAGTCCCTGCTAGAGAGGTGGTGCGAACCTGGTGATAAAAGAGTGCCAATTTCTATTCTATTTCTATTGGCTGGGTGAATTGCAAACCACACCCTGATAGACTCTGAATTTTTTTTGTTAGGCAGCCTTTTTTTTCTCCTCGCTTCAAAACCACATCCACACCTGAGCGAGTAGTTTTTTTGTACTTTAAAGCAGTTATGACCACACGTACTACAACACCGGAGCGGTGGAATGATGAGGAAGTGTCGGCGCTTCTGGCAATTTACTCTGAGGACGGGATGCAGCAGCTTCTACAGAAAGCAGTTCCCAACTCCAAATGTTTTGAGCGATGTTCGCAAAAGCTACTTGAGCGGCGTGATGCCGTTATTGTTATGTCTTGACCTGCAATAAAACAAACAAACTGGCGAAGCTTTATTTATTGTGTCCCACCCCAAATTTGCAGAATAGAAGAATGTGAGAGCAGACAGGTGTCGGTGATTGAATTTAATGTTGCAACCTTGTGCAGCAATGGCAGGGGCAGAAACACAAGTCTTACACACATAAACACAAGTAATTTATCATGTCATTTGTTTTAGATAAATAAGGGAAAAACACCAAACAACGGTTAATTTCCTTTTCCAAAATCAGCCTGAGGGGGTAATATATAATAAATACATAAAGAA